CCTATAAATAGTGGATGTATTTCATTATTTTGGGTGTGGTCAGAGAGTTGATCTGACAAAAAAATATTGTGAGTCTAGTATCTTGAGCTTTTTCTTACATTGGGTAGAAAAGTAGGTGTAGTAAAGCTTGAGTATGTTTATTTTTCTTTGTAATATTTGGGGATTGAGTTGATGACTGAAATTCTATATGATTGTAACAAATTTTCATATAGTGAAATTCTATATGATTGTTTATTTTTCTTTGTAATATTTGGGGATTGTGCATTATATTCTTTATTTTTCTTGTTTGTTAATATTCTTTTGAACAATAAAAGATCTTGCAGGTAAATAGAAATAAAGGGAATTGGCGTGAAATTCTCAACAAGTGGTATCAGAGCATCAGGTGATTCGAAGTATTGGAGCAACAGAAAAATATGTCGTCGTTGAAATATAACATGGATAAATTTGACCGGAGAATCAATTTTGGCTTGTGATAAGTACAAGTTAAGGATTTATTGATTCAAGCTGGACTACATAAGGCTTTTAAAGGAAACCCAACTAAGAGTTTTAGCAAGATTGACAACTTCATGAGGAAGAAAGTAACTTATTGGAACTGCTGTCAGACTGGCCACGTGAAAAGAAATTGTCCAAAAAGTGGAGCAGGGTCGACTGACTGCTTGGGGATCGGACAATGCGTCTTTCTTGATGAAGGAGGACGCGGATGTGGTGCTGTAAAGTAAGATTGGAACTTCGTCATAGCATGTCACCAGTTGCCATAAGATAGGATGTGTTCTTACTGGCGCGGGTCAACATATATGCACATAACATTGATTGACATTTGATGCAAGGTGTGTAGGTATGTGGTGGTATTGTAATGTCGATGGCTGATGAACTCTCTAGAAAAGTGAATGGGAGAGTTGCACCATAACTATCAGCAGGGTTGTTTCAACATGTAACCGATGAAATGCTCGAAGTTCACAAGTAATTCTGAGTGGTTATGCTCATAGAGTGGAGTATGAGACCGTTAAAGTGTGTCAAATGCTTACCTATTTTTCCAAATATTGTGATTGAAAGTTGTAGAAGAGATAACGAGATTTTGACTCATTTTCGGTAAGGTGTAGATTGTTGGATAATTGTCTCAAAAGTCAAAAGTTGGAGGATTTCTATTGCAATTAATAAAATGTAGTTATTGTATAGAAGATTTCTAATTAAAGTTTAGAGCAGAATCCTTGCAAAATTTGGTCTCCAATTTACAATCGATTTTGGAGTCCTGCACATGAAGAAATTCTCATTGAGTTAAAGGAGTCTTGTTTGAGTTTAAATTAAACACTTCTACTTGGTTATTGATCCTATAAATAGTGGATGTATTTCATTATTTTGGATGTAGCCAGAGAGTTGATCTGAGAGAAAAATATTGTGAGCCTAACATTTTGAGACTTTTTGTACATTGGGTAAAAAAGTAGGTGTAGTAAAACTCGAGTTTATTTATTTTTCTTTGTAATACTTAAGATTGAGTTGGTGAGTAAAATTTTATATGATTATAACAATTTTTTATATAGTGAAAAGTTTTAATAGTCTTTTTAATTTGCGGGTTATATTCTTTATTTTTCATGTTTGCTAATATTCTCTTGAACTAAAGATCATGCGGGTAAATATAAATAAAAAGAATTGGCGTGAAATTCCCAACAAGTGTTGGGCCGGAGACTTATTGGGTGATCTTGAGCCTCTCTCACCCCAAAAGTTAGTTCAAGAGGTGAGATTTTCCCTCAAACTTATAAACTGAATGCCAACTCAACTAGAACTAATGTGGGACAACCTCAACATTCTCCTCCTCACACATCGGACTTTGTGGGAGACTAAACACATCTCCCCCTCACACAAACCCGTATCTCCATGACTATTGGATTGAAGACTTGTTGATAAATCGGGCTCTAATACCAGTGTTGGGTGGTATTGAACCTCTCTCACTCCAAAAACTAGCTCAAGAGGTAAGACTTTCCCTCACATTTATAAATCGAATACCAATCCATCCACAACTAATGTGGGACAACCTCAATATCCGTTTCATCTATATATCCATCATTTGATTGATTCGCAATGTCCAAGGCAGTTCCAGTGTGGAAATCTTGGCAATTTGGAATTTCCTCTGGCCAATTCTTTGGGATGTGGATTGTTCACGGTTCACTGCAGTGCTCGGCTGAATCCAAAAATTCCTTTGGATAATTATAGGTCCTATGAGATTCTGAAAAAGTCATATCCCAATCAGTTATTTATTCGAAATCAATTTCTTCATCGTGTTTTATATAGTCATAATTATGAGGAAAGATGCCACTTATTTTTTGATCCCTCTACGCTACTCTCCTTCTATTTCAATTTCATTATTCCCCAATATTACTTTGTTCGGATGCACCAAAGATAGGAACTACGACAATGAGATACCTAATATCCAAGAAATTTAATTCTTAAGTTACAACAACCAAAACCATGGAACTTTATATTCTAAGACCTAGAATCGATTTGAAACAGAACCAAAGCGAACTGGCTGATTTTGCTTAGTTCTAGATCGTTGGTCTTGGATAAAATTTCCTGCCCTTAGGTAACATATTATATTACTTGTATGGTAATTACCTGTTTTATATGTTGGGTAACTTATTGGTAGGGTTGGCAACGGTTCGGTTATGGGTCGGTTCGGCCAAAACCATAACCGCACCATCAAATTTTTGACCATACCATAACCACGTAAATCGGTTCGGTTCGGTTCGATTTTTATCTCGGTTCGGCACGGTTCGGTTCGGTTAATAACCACGAAAATAAATTATTTTTTATTGGTTCATCCGTCAAATTGATATAAAACAATTTATGAAAAAAGTCAATGAAAACAAAAACACAATATTCCAAACGAAAATGCAAACATTATCAAACAATATTCCAAAACGTAAATGCAAACATTATCCTAATTTTCAATTGTAAAATGCAAATTTAACAAACAATATTATAAATATAATAATACTAAACTTTTCCTTCATTTTTAATTGTTGTGCATCGAAGTTACTTGATGCATTATTCCCTACAAGTCTTACTAGCATTGACCAGCATTCAAAGTTGATTCCTATTCATCCTTGGCAATATTAGCACGTCTAGAAAAATATCGAACTCTATTTTTACATGATCAGCAGTAATAGAATGACTAACAGATGTAACAAATTTTCGGAGGCGACGACGATTTGGACCGTAGAGGCAATGGAGTCGTGCGTGAGTTTGTGGTTGTGGAGAGTAGGGTTTGTATTTATATACTGTCATACTAATGCAGTTATGGGCTAATGGTAAGTAGACTGGCCGAATGAGTCAGGTAGATATAATGAGGAGGGGAGGGATTTTGTTTTGATTTGGATAGAAAAGTAGTGTAAAGCCCATTATCAATTCAATTTTTTTTTAGCGGGTAATCGGTTCGGTTTCGGTTCGACGACATAAATACCATACCCGCACCATTACGAACCGGTTCATTAAAATCAAAACCATATCCGCCCCATTGCACCATCGGTTCGATTTTTTTTGCCCCATTCGGTTCGGTTAACCGCGGTTTTCGATTTTGACGGTTCAAATTGCCATCTCTACTTATTGGGAGTAATTATGTTATCGATGTTAACTCCTATCATCAATATCAACATCAGATTGCAGCCCCAAAATGTTAGTGCCACCATTATTGACACTCTAAACCACCACCTTCTAAACTGTCAAAATCAGCACCACCATATCCTCCAACCACTGCTACGCCAACATAAAACCATAACTATCACGATGGAAAGCTTTAGAAACACAATAATGATTCTGATATGAAAATATTTGATGAATGGTAGTTGTGTTTGTTGCACGAAGTTTATGATGATAAAATTGGAGAAGCGATAAATGTTGAAAATGTGGGTTTGGAGGCAATTGGATTGAGATTCCAGTAACGGTGGCGGTATAAGTCAACAATAGTGTGGGAGCTTTTTGGTGCAATGGTGGAGAAGATAACAAGAGGAGGTTGTTGATTTGAGAATTTTGAGTTGGGTGTGATACATTGCGACAATGATCCAACATTATTGGGGTGCTAGTTTGGAATAATGCTATTTATTATTATGATGATGGAATATCAATGATGTGGTAGTCTATATGAAATAATGGGATTGGACAGTCTAATTTTTATGAAAGAGGGGAGAGGAGATGTGGTCTCAAGAAAGAAAGATAAATGTGAGAGATAATGGGTTGCCGTATTATTGATATTCCTTCATTATGATGATAAATAGCATTACTCGCTAGTGCAGTGTTTTGTTGGATAGGAATTTGACAAGAATGAAGGCATGTTTGAAACTTTTTAAATTAGAACTCTTTATTTCTCATATTCATTTTCATTCACACATTAAAATATTATGTAGTAAACCAAAAAAAATCTCCTACATTTTAACTACATATTTTTCAAAAAATCACTATTTGAAACATCATTTTCCTCCAATTTCTATTTATAGTTTTCATCAAACAGGGGCTTAGAATAAGTTTATAGAAAAAGAAGTATATTTCAAAAAAAAAAAAAAATTATATATATATATATTTGTAAAACATAAAAGGGAGTTATTTTTTTCAGTTTTCGCAAGAAAAGAGAGTATCCAACCTTAGAACATATCTAATGGACTTAAAGATTATATTTTAGAATTTAGAGATCATCTATAAATTTAGAGATTTAAAACTCCAACTTACTCTTTACTCTAATACATATTTATTATTTTTCTCATATATTTTATTTTCGCTAGCTTCCCTTCAAAGTATTATATTATTTTCCTCCATTTCTTTGTATATACTACTTAATTGGGTGCATTGAAATTGAAGTATTTTGGATTAGGAAAAATCAAACAAAGAGAAATAATGTCAGACATTTCACATTTGAATAGTTGATTTGTGATTGTGATACTACCTACCTCATACGATGGAAATTTGCTTGAAATTTGCTTAAAATTACTTTTTTAATTGCCGTACAGTAAAAATGTAAAATTCAAGGAAGTAACTATCGTTTAATTTTCCACCACAGTTGGAAACGGCATGAAGAGTGGGGCCTTGAAGTTGTTTCTGATTCGCAGGAATACAAAAAAATTCGTAGGATACGAAACTTCGCTCATCGGTGTTATTTGTTTAGGCTGACTGTTTCAACTCAATTCTTTTCGTTTTCACAAGTCTTCATGAAAAAAATCCAAGTCAACTGCCGTGTTCACTTTCACCCTGACTTACGTTGCGAGCGAATAAATTTATTGAATTTAGACAACCGCAGCAGAATTTGATTTCTCTATTCTTCTTCTTCTTCTTTCTGTTCGTTGTTGAGTTAGGCTGGCATGGTTTTCTCCCGTAGGGCTGCTTCCAGTTTAGTTGTTTATGTCTTTCTGTTTCATCTATATATCCTTCACTTGGTTGATTCTCAATGCCCAAGGCAGTTCCAGTGTGGAAATCTTGGCAATTTGGAGTTTCCTCTGGCCAATTCTCCGGGATGTGGATTGTTACCGGTTGACTGCGGTGCTCAGCCGAATCCAATAATTCACCTGGATTATTATCCGTTTTCACCATCCTATGAGATTCTGAAAAAGTCATCTCCCAATGAATTATTTATTCGAAGTACATTTCTTGAACGTGTTTTACATAATAATAAGGAAATATGCAAATTATTTTTTCATCTCCCTATGCCACCTTCTCCTTCTATTTCGATTTCATTGTTCCCCAATATCACTCTGTTTAAATGCCTCAAAGACTGGAACTACGACAACGAGGTACCTAATTTCCAAGAAATTTATGGAAACTACGATGGTTGTGATTTCTTCGATATTTACTACCCCAAGTCGAATGGAAGTCTTTCGCCCCCCAAAGACTGTTCAGTTCTTCCCTTGCCAGGCAATTTACAATATAACTCAGATTCAATGGACTTGTTCCAACGGTTAGGCTCTGATTGTCTTCTAAAATGGAATGTGTCTGATGATTGTCGTAATTGCCACAGAAAAGGAGGAAATTGCACAACTAACATGAAGAATGAATTTCGATGTGATAAAGGTACCATCGGCCTTTGAACATGATCTTTTCATTATGGATATATTATTGACTATTGAGTTCAAAAATTATTAAATTAAGAAAATTTTTAGATCACGATTTTATATTGTCAATTCAACTCTTTCCCAATATAGTTATTTGCTTTTATTTTTATTTTTATATTTTCGCATTTTGTATAAAGTAATTATTCAATAGAATGACTATTTTAAAGACTTATTTCAAAAAATAATAATTAAAAAAAGAAAAATCAGTTCATAAACACAACTGTCATATGGATCATGATCTATACACATATATAAACTGTTGACAATATCCATTATTTTTTTAATCCGCAAGTCAAATATATTTTGAGTTTTGCTCCTGTAACAGGGAGGTTGACCCCCTATTTATGGGGTTCGGTCAGGGGGCGGTCAGCCCCCTATTGCTGTAGCAAGACTCGTATATTTTTGTGACAAATTTACATGTACAAGAAGTAAAAATACTAAACACTTATAACTAAATAAAATTTCATTTATTGATAAACTATAAATTATTCATTAATCGAAAAATTAAATAACTGTTCTAAAATAATAATATTTCTTAGTACCCAAAGTATCAAATTTTAGTTAGCAGTTCTACTCTCCTACCTTCAGTGGACAAAATAAAAACTTCTCATTCCCGACATAACAGGAGTATCTTAGTTATGATTCTCTGAAATGATTGTAAATTCAGAGAACCATAATTAAGGTTCACTTCCCGTGTGATGGGAATTTTTTATTGTAACAATTGAGAACTGGAAATCAATTATATTGGCTGTAATGCGATACTTTACAATCACTATAGAGGTTATCCCATTTTGAAAGTTTGTCTTTTAACATTGTAATCTACAGAGTTCAAGTGATCTCAAATTTAATGGGAATCTAAATCATTTACAGAGCACAAAATTTGTTGATTACATAGTAGTTTGATGCAAGTATAACGGGCAATTTGACAAAAAGTCTTGACTCCAGACAAACTTATTTCAAATATGTGAAAAGAATAATGTTGTTTTGCTAGATGATATTAACACCTTGGATGATAGATTAAGTGTGTAGCACAAAATGATTGGATTGAGGTGTTGACTATTTTTAAACAGTTAAATTTCTGTCATCAAAGGTGTAAAATCATCAGGCAGCCAAGCAGGACTGGTGTGAAATTCACGTGTTCACGCCTTTAAAGATTTTACATACAGGGGAGAGTACTCAGAAAAATGAGTTCCCATCTTGTTTTTATAAGTTGCTTAATCTAACATGTGTTTTGATTTCAGCTGCAGGAATGATTAAATTGAAACTGATTATACTTGCAGGTAACTCTTCCAAATTTCAGCACCATTTCTTTTGTTTTTTGATTTATAAACATAGTTGCCTTTTTTCATCACAGGTGTTTCAGCTACAGCGGTAGTCCTTATCTCCATAATCTTGTTCACTTTTGGTAGGAAGAAATACATGCTGAATTTGAAGGGAAAAACTCAAAACCATAAGGACATTGAACTCTTCCTGAAGAACAATGAGAAGCTTACACCAAGAAGACACAACTATTCTGATCTTAAGAAAATGACTAACTCATTCAGTGACGACTTAGGGGAAGGCGGCTTTGCTAATGTGTATAGAGGAAAGTTACCTAATGGCTGTCTTGTAGCAGTAAAGATTTTGAAAGAATTGAAAGGCAATGGAGAAGAATTTATCAATGAGGTTGCAAGTATCAGTAGAACTTCCCACGTCAATGTTGTCACTCTTCTGGGATTTTGCTTTGAGGGTTCCAAAAGAGCTCTCATTTATGAGTTCATGCCCAATGGATCTCTTGAGAAGTTCATATGCAGCAATATCTCCAAAGCAGAACGTCGATTAGGATGGGAAAAAATGTTTCAAATTGTAGTTGGCATTGCCCATGGAATAGAATACTTACACAAAGGATGTAATACACGGATTCTGCACTTCGACATAAAGCCTCATAACATTCTTCTTGATAAAGACTTCATCCCTAAGATATCGGATTTTGGCTTGGCTAAACTTTGCCCCAACAGATCCAGTATAGTGTCAATGCTAGGGACTAGAGGAACAATAGGATATATTGCTCCAGAAATAATTTATAGAAATGTTGGAGACATTTCTTACAAGTCAGATGTCTATAGCTATGGTATGATGGTTTTGGAAATTGTTGGAGAGACAAAAAATACTAATGTTAGAGTTGATCGTTCAAGTGAAAAATATTTTCCTGATTGGATCTATGAGCACCTCGAACAAAATTTTGAACTTGATTTTAACCGAGTTGTAAACGAAGATGAAGTTTTGAAAAGGAAAATGGTAATAGTTGGCTTATGGTGCATACAAACTGATCCCACAACTAGACCATCAATGAGCAGGGTTATAGAAATGTTAGAAGGGAACGTGGAATCTCTTCAAATCCCACCAAAACCCTACTTACAGCCAAGAGCAGCAGAAAATTTTTCAACTATTGAGTCGTCAGTCACTCTCTTCTAAGTTCATGAAGTTTAGCTTCCTGGAATCCCATGGTGTTTAGTAGCTCCTAGTCACCAAGCTATATAGGCAGTTACCTATGTTGTTTTTGCTATTGTAATTTTTATGCTCTAACACCTCCACTACATTGCTTTATTCAATATAAAACCAAGTCAAACACAATCTAATCACAAATTTTCTGATGATACAAAATACAATGAAGATACTCTATTCTTGTATTATAAATTTGTTGACTCCACTTAATGGCATTCTTCATTTTCCTGTTCACTACACAAGTTTTTTAGAACAAAATATCTTTCGTATAGAATATGGCAACCACAGCTCCAGCTCCTAAGAACTTGGCTGTTGGTAGACGAAGTTTTTTTGAGGATACAGCAGTACATAGATATGCCCAAACCCATCGGGAAAGGAAATGTAGCTTGCAAGTCGACTGAAACTTTTGTGGGGAAAATTCCTATACATGGCAAAGCAGAGTGGAGATCGAGGTCAATTGCACAGAGATAAAGGAAACTAGTCAAGCTGAAAGTAAGCACACGCAATAAAATATAAAACCATAGTTAGTAGTAAGCAGTGCAATTGCTGGTACATTTCTCTATGTAGGATTTCAATACAAACAATCACAGGGAAGTCGTCCAACCTAAGGTAGTTTTTGGTAAGTTCTTAAAGGAGAAGCTTTCCTCATGGGCTCATATTTTAGCCACATTTCCAGCAAACTCAGCAAGACTGCTATTGAAATTTTCTAGAGAGAAATCCTGCATGGTTCAGAGGAAAGATTGGATTTCTACTGTAATAAGCCCAGTAACAGTGCAAAGACAGCAGATTTTTGGATTTTCTGCCATTATGATTTACATAGAACAAAAGCGTACACGTACAAAAATGTAAAATAGGACATGAGAATTAACAAATGCAAAACAGGAAATGCAAAAAATTCGAGAAGAAAGGCAGATGAATGCTACCTTTGGTAATTTATCCTGCTGAGCTAGATGATCCACATGGAGTCTCACATTTGATGAGGCAGGAAGCCAGAGACTGCGATCAACATCAGCTTACGTAAATGCAACAATGTCAAATAACGTCTCAAGGTTTGTTAAATTTCTTCTTGGAGATCAAGCTTGGCATTCATGAGTTTAATGTTTTTTTTTCTGTCCTATTGAGCTTGATTACGGATATCATTCCAATTCCCAGGTACACCATGACTTCCACCCCTGGGTCTATAGGAAATAAAGTTTCCCCCATGGAAGATCTTGTAGGTTTCTGGCTTTAAGAATGAGGCTGTGAAGAAGTTGAAGCTTTTCTCTAAAGTTCAGTTTTTTGACTTTTCTCCATGTTTTGCCACTGTTTGGCTTACAATAAAATCAAATTTTTAGTATATTTTGATAAAAATTGATGGAACGAGTTAATTAAAAAATTATCCACTCTTTCATCTGATCATCCCTTAGCAATTTCCTCTTCTTGATTTTTCATATAATCTTCAATCGCCACAGAATCATTCGATTTAATATTGGTCAGATTGCATGTGCATGTTTGTAAAATATTTAATTACCTCGACAGTGAAATCCAAGGTCCCTAATTAAGTATGAATAATCTAAATAAACCGTCACCTTATACCAATAAGTTAATTAAATTAATGATTAACCAACATAAGTAGCCAATCAATGACTAGAAATATGCCATTTGTCCCCAACGACCTGTTTCAAATTGGCACACCCGACTCCATGTTCTAGAAGGTTAGGTGGGTGGAGTCGAGTTAGATGTAACTATCCAATAGACTATACACCACTAGTCTATATAGATAAAAGGTCAATATGCCCCTTCATATGAACCTTCAGGTGATTTATCCTCCGTCAATCTATGCCAATATTTTGAACAAGTTCATTCCCATCACAAAAGAAGCAAAACCAGATTTTGCAATATAACTACATTGCTTTATTCAATATAAAACCAA